TAGTACAATATGGCTTAAGCGAAAAATATGAAAATGTGCATCAAATAATACAATCATATACATTTTTTAATATATATATAAGTTTTACCTTCTTTCCTTGAATACATTTTACACACATACAGTGAATTTTTTTAAACTTAAAGTGCTCTCCTGTAAAGTTACAAAATGTCGCTTAAATCAAGTCGCCTTTTAACCGTCGATATGTGGGGCTGAACGGTATGCTACGCATCTCGACATCACTCGTCAAGTCGCTCAACGCTGTCTACTCGTATCTTTTAAAGAAATGTTTCTATAGGACGCGCCGCACTGCGATGCGCTTTGCATCGCGGCGTTACTCTTCTGCTAAAAAAATGTATACTTTATTTAATAGAGAATATGTCCTATATTATTTTCCATTAAATTGCATTTTATAAGATGCGCCAGTTGCTGCTCGAGCCACCCCGCCACCGTTTGTTGCATCTTCTTTTTATTTTTTTGGTTAAAGAAATATAATCGTATCTCGTACAAAATAAAGTTTATGTTTATTTTAATGCATCGCAACGTCGCCGTCTAGCTGCAGCAATTTGAGGTGACTCAGATGTTCACAATTGCTACACTTTAGAAATGAAACAATTTTTTCACATCCAAAATCGCGTATATGTGGTTTTTCAAACAAACCAACATTTCGGGCTCTTTACAGGACATGGTTAGTTAGTCCTTAAAACACAAATTTGCCGCATTTATTTCCTTGAAAAATATTTTACTGTCCTAATTACTTCATATAAAAATGAAGTTGATGTTAGCTGAGTATAAAGGTACATACGGATGCACGTGTTTATTACAACAGATTGCCTTGTATTTCACATTATTTTTGTATTGCCTTAAGAAATAGGATAATGTATTTAAAATCTACTTTGCAAGCATGATGTTTTCAGCAATCCTACCCGACGAATACGCGACTTCTATGAGAGAATTCGAAGCCATTTACGAGTCCCATAAAAACATGACGTATTACATCGGAAATATGAAGGAGCCTCATTGGTTCGTAGCAACCAGTAAGGAAACCTGTTTGCAGGGATTCAAGGTATTGACAATTACTTTTGTTATCGCGTTCCATGATATGCATACTCTATATGACCATCCGTAGATCCTGAAAAATTCCTTTTTCATACAAAACTTTACTTGCTTAACTCATGTAAATTATATTTGGTACATTTTAATGACGTTGGGCGTTTAGCGCTTTTCCCATTGTTGTAGTTTGCTGGTTCTAAAATGCTGGCTTGTCACGGCCTGTGATTACATGAGTCGCAGCGCGCGAGCACGCGCCAACGCGTCCTGGGAAGAGTGAAACTCATGACGGCCGGCGCGGACATATTGTATGGACCTGTGGCGCGCGCTTGGCCGTATAAATTGGTGCGGCGCGGCGCGGCCCGTGATATCACAACCCGTGGGAAGCCGCCTTTAGAAGATTAAACAATGACGTTGTATTCATTATTAAGCCACATGAAAACCGGCGTGCAATTTTTTGATATTTGATATTTTATTTACTTTAGGAGTTTAGTTCCAAACCATTTATTTAAAAAGTTAAATGGAAATAAGTAACAACACGAGCAAAATCGATATATTTTTAAGTTGCTGCAATAATTAGGTTAACTTGATATTTTCAATCTACATTATGTTTCCAAGTAATTTAGTATTAGTATTTTATGCAATCGTTGCTCAATGATGGTTCTCAAAGCCGACTACGGTGCTTAAGTACCTAATGGGTACCAGATTTTAAGACCTAATTATGTAATGATTACATACCATCGAGTATATAACCAGAAATAGAGAGGAAATGTCATTCAATTTGTTTGAAAACTATTCTGCCATATTATTACTGTGCCAACTGCGCTCCGATTGGCTAGCCCGAGTTCGAAACAATTGACGGGTGTCGTCAACTGTTTCACTTCAAATCGACCAGTTAGCTTGAGCTTTGCTATAATGGACGAATATTGCAAAATTACATATTTAATATTAATTACCGGTGAAAGGTGATTCCGTTTGTTTTGTAATTAGATGTTTTGCTGCTTTTCCCACACCACCGAATAGAACAGCACGGCATTGTTAGAGATATTATCTTTATTACAATAAATACAGAATATTTTTTGGAATATACGGAGACGTACACAGACCAGTTGGCCTGTCTATATTTCAGTGCAAACGAGAGTTGATATTTATAAGAGCTGTATCGCTAACTTGTTATCAGGAATATATGGCCTTTATTTCGTCTCTATTTCTGGTTATATATTTGATGCTTCTAATGAACAAAACACGTTCACACGAATTAATACGGGGTTCTTAAACTCATAAATTGACAGAATAAAGTAAAAGAGTAGAAAAATGTTATTTTCATCTCACTAGCTCGGAAAGGCTTTCTTTCTGATTAGAAATCTGCGCCCAAAAAATTTTGAAATTCGAACTTAACTATGGACTGTGATGCACCTAACTTTTTCTTTCGATAGAAAAAAAAACATAATGACACGTTCAAGTACGCGATTTGTCGTACATTATTTAAGTAAATTTAGATCCGTTGGTATATATTATTCTTATTATCGTTGACATTAAATTGACAACGATAACTCATTTTTAACCGACTTCAAACAAAGGAGGAGGTTCTCAATTCGACAAAAAGTGAAAATTGTGAAAAAGTGTGAAAAAACGTGTACTATAAGAAATGTACCGATATTCCAACTAAACGTAAACTCAAATATCCGTAATTCCGAAAACCGATTTAGAATAAAACCGTTACGCTTTCAAGTAATTTTGATGCTTCTGACAAAGCCAAAATTAGCTTTTGTTTTGTAATATTCCTAAAAAAATACATTTGACATTATGAAAATTCGAGCTAACGTTATTTCGGGCAAATGTATTTTCGGACTTCTGATAGGTAATCCCTAGCCTTAAAACGAGTACAACAATGTTTTGTTAGTTATTACTAAAGTTTATTAAAAAGTCATTTTAAAAATAAGATTAAAATCAACACGACTCTATAGTTTCTTTGTTCCAAATATTTCGATCGCTTATGGTTCAAACAATTGAAAATGACCAAGAAGTTTATATACGCTTCTCGAAATTGACGTAATGGGTCTCTTTCCATCCATTTGGCGCATGCAATGTGTAGAAAAAGGACAGTTAGCGATTTAATTATTTTGTTTGTTTTTGTAATTTATATTTACGATTAATTTATATATAAATTAAATACTATACAACTGTACAAAATAACACTTTTAAATGACAACTATGATAACACAATATATTTGTTTAGTGAAAATATGATACAAAATCCTGTTTATACACTTTACTGCAGTAATTTTTACAAGTTATTATTATATATAGTACTGTATAATTGACAACCGCGCTGTCAGTCGAACAAACGAAGACTGCTGCGCGATTGACGCTCTGTGTGCGATTTTAACGCCCTATAGGTGCGGACACTTTTTAGCGCGAACCCGACGGCCATTTGTTAATAGGTCAATGTTATTGTTCCAATTTTTATCTGGCATACGATAGGCTAATAATAAAAAAATATCACGTTATTATCAGGCATCATGAAACTAATCCACCAATGAGTAAAATTGCAAGTGGCTAATATTGTTCATTACAAGCATCAATACCTTGTGCACCGTTATACCCTAACCAACCCAGCTGTTATTTCAATTCAAAACATAGTGATTTAAATGAACAATCATTACAAATTTAATCTTCTAGCATAGGCAGTAAAGTCACTATTTGTACGAAGTATTTTTTGTTTCCTTCGTTTTCATTATGAATTCAACGTGTGCTTGGGCTTAACAATGAATAACAATGCTACTGTTTAAAAGATAAGCGCTCAGTCCAATTCCACTTCAAATAATGTCTACTATGTCAATAGTGGATCAACCCAGTGACATCATCAATTTGGCTATTGTTTCATACTTTTATTTATATTAATTTATAATTTTTTCAGAGTACAAGACGCAATTGCTTATTGATGGCGTCTCTCGCGTTGTTGCTCACCCTCTTGTTACTTATCGTATTTCGTTACGGGTAAGTTTAACTAAACAGGTAAGAACGGCTCTTATAGTCTGCGTAATTTTAATTTCAATTTCGTTATCAATGAAATGAAGGACTCTTTGAAATAAAAGAATTACTCGCAGAAACGTTATCAAAAGAAAAACAAGTAGGACGACCTTACAAATCTGACCGCAACCCAAAAGAAATGTGTGTGATCCGGTTTTGTATACAATACCTAGGTATTCTACATAATGCCTCTAGCATATATGCGTAAGACACAAGTACCTGCACGAGCGGCGGTATCGCCAAATATCAAAGGCGTTGCGGTACTGTAGGGAAGATATTAAAATAATGTCATAATAGTCATCGTCCGTGAAACTAGATTAGCCCCGAAAATTAGACTCGAGTAAATAGCCAGTGTAATAAACAATTACTTTTATTTTGTTTTCAGGCATGTAAAGAAGATCATTAAAGTATGCAAACCTATTAAACCAACAACGTGAGTATCATGCGATTTGTATTATTACTAGAGTTGCAAAGAATATTCGATTACTACTCGCTATTCGGCTTGTTTTTGTGGGTATTAGGCCGAAAACCGTACATTGAACCACTATTCGAGCGAACACTGAATACCTACTTAAAAACAGGAGAACATTATAATATATTAAATACACATAGGATTAAATGAAAAGTACTGACTTATTCTACACTTGATTAAATAAATGCCGAATTTTATCTGCAAACCAAAATAACATTACATTTGTTTGCTTGCTTGCTTGCTCGCTCGCTAGCTCGTTCGTTTGTTTG